AGCCCATTAAATACATATTTATTTATTAATTATGGCAACAAAAAGGTCTTAATTGCTTACATATGTGCATACATATAAACTAAGCTGAGTGGCGTGAGGGCGTATTTAGTAACCGATATTTTGGTATTACGAATTGGCATTTCCTATAAAAACTACACATAATTGAAATTTATATTTACATTTCGCTTGCTTCAAATTGTTACCGTTGTGCACTGTTTAAAGATATTTATGCGATCACAAACATATATGTAATAGTTGAGAAATGTAGTATGCAATATATACAAACAAACGTTTATCATTGATGTTATTTAATTTTACTTTGTACCTGTGCTACTTGTGATGGGTGTTATTAAAGATGTACTCGTATATATGTTAGTATGTATACATTGTATAATCAGCGCTTCATTGTGTAATTGAGCAAATAGTAGTGAAATGTGCGTTGGGAGATTAGAAAAAACGTCGGGTGTGTGTGTGTTTAATGGGTGTGGTGGAAAGTCATGACGATTTCAAGTGTTTATTGTGAATTTCATGGGGCAGCAGGTTGCGCGCTTAAGTCTTTTGTATGAATGATTCTTTCATGACAAAATCTCATGTTGAAGCAAAAAAAAAAATATATATATACATATGTGCCGTTGTATGCATGTTAACGCATACATCAATGAGATTCAAAATATAATTTTAACACATATTCCATATATTTCATATAAACCCCTCGCTTTCAGCTTGACATGGTCAAAACATTCCACATTTATGAGTGACATATATCAACTGGTTGCCAAGTTTGTGGCCAAATATGTCAAATTTGTAAAATTTTGCTCCTAATTTCACTAAATTTACAACACTTTATACATATGTGACTATGCGTTTTGAAATATCTGAACATCTGTCTACCCATATATGTGCATAGGTGTGTATGTATCATATGTATGTACACGCGCAATTGAACTCATTTGCGTTAACCTTTCCATGTATATGGTCATGTTTTCGCTTTTTATGAGTGGTTTGTGACTATGTCAGGTAGACTGCGAAGTAGGTCAAGTTCAGTCGAAAACTATTTACAATGAAATTTATTGAAGAGATGAAATAAACTATTATATAGAAACTACAGTATATAGAAGAGTTTTTATAAAGGGAAAAATTAGGATATAAACAAATAAAAATATTATAAAATATGATTAAAGGTAATATAAATAGAAACTGAAACAGAAATAAAAGTTATAACAACAAAAATTAAAAAAAATGGAAACTAAAATAAATCAAAATGAAATAAAATAAAATAAAAAACCCAAAACAAAATAAAAAAGTAAAACAAAAAAATGTAATGAAAGTTAATTCCAAAAAAAAAGATAAATCAAATAAAAGCAAATAAAAAAAATTAAATAAAACATAAAAAAATTAAATAAAAAAGTCAAATAAACAAAATTATGAAAAAAACTACATAAATAAAAAAAAGGAAATATTTAGTAACAAAAATGAAATAATAAATTAAATAAAATATTAAGTAATTATCAATAAAGGTTAACAAAATCATGTAAATTAACATTAAAAAAAATGTATAACGTAAAACAAAATAAACCAAAAGAAATAAGCTGGAAAGAAAGAAAATACAACTATTTAAAATGTATTAAAAATAAAGTAAGCCAAAGAAGAGTAAATAAGATAATATAAAATAATATAACATAAAATAAAATAAAGTAAAAAAAAATAAAATTAAACAAAATGAAATAAAAAAATGAATTGAATGCACTTTAAAAAAAAAATATAATTAAAACAAATAAATTGATATAAAATAAAATGAAAAATAAAAAATTAATAAAAAAAATTAATCAAATTATAAAAATTAAAAATATTAAGTTAATTAACATTAAATGAAAAAAAATTAAAACTATACTAAATTTTTTTTTAATAAAATAAATTTTAATTAAATAAAATGTATCAGAATAAAATGAAAAAATAAAATAAGATAAAATGAAATCAAATGAAATAAAAATAAGCCTTAAAAGGACATAGTATAAATAAAATTTTAACATTTTTTAGCAAAATGAAATAAGTTAGAATAATGAAATTAACTCGGAATAAAATTAAATAAAACTATTAAAATGAAATAAAAAATAAAACAAAACAAAATAAAGTAAAATATAAAATGTAATAAAAAAATTAATCCAAAAAAATTAAAGAAAAAATAAAACAAAATTAAAATAAATTATATAAATTAAAAAAAAAAAAACAAAATAAAAATAAATTATATAAATTAAAAATATTAAGTTAATTAACATTAAATGAGACTAATTGGAATAAAATAAAATAAGTCGGAATATAATAGTATATAATAGAAATATATAAAATAAAACAAAATCTATTAAAATAAAATAAAAATATAATAAAAAAATAATGGTAATAAAAAAACTAACTAAAATGAAATAATATAAAATAACTTAAAATAAAATGAACTAAAAACAATTTAAAATATTAAAAAAAAAAAACGAGTTACACAATATAAATTCAAGTAAAATAAAATAAAATTTGGCGCTTTGTAACCGCTGAAACGATTTTTGGCCCTGTCCTCCTCTAACTTGTTACATGCGTCTTGATGTTTTCCAGCAAATGGAATGACCTATAGTTAATACTAAGTATCTTTCGATCGGCTGATGGTTTTTTTATGAGGATCTTTATTACATGTCAGAAATATACTCAGAGGGCTTCACATTCCCTGACGACCGTAATTAGAAAATTTTACATAATTTTTCATTAAAATTAATGTTCTATAATTTTTGGTTACTGGGCGGACATAGATTCGACCCTGGCCATCGGAGTGGCAGTACGCAATACTTGGCAATCACGGACGCAATACAATATAAAATAAAATTAAACGAAGGACCAACATAAAATAAACTTATATAAAATTATATAAAATAAAATGAAAAACAATACAGAAAAACTAAAATAAAAAAAGAAATAAGGAGAGTAAAAAGTAGAATATATATACTTGATGAAAAATAAAATGAAATAAAATAAAAAGATGAAAAATTAATATTAAAAGAAAATAATGGAAAAATAAAATAAAATAGTTAAAATAAAATAAGAAATTGCAATTAAACAAAATAACATGAAGTAAAATTAAATAAATAAAAAAAATTTAAAACAAAAAAATTAAAATTAAACAATATAATTGAAAGTTAAATGAAGTAAAAAAAAAATTAATTAAATTAAACAAATTAAAATAAAGTAAATTGAATTCAAATAGAACAGAACAAAATAAATTTAATTCAAATAAGTAATAAATTTAGACCAAACATAGTGAATACTCGTTTAAAGCGAAATAAAAAAAAAATGAAATAAAGTAAAAATAATATTTTATTGACCATTCAAGAGTATATTAAATGGCTTAGGACTGCGCAATGTATAAAATATAAATTGCAATAGCAACAACAGTAAAAAAATTAAATCACGCATACATTGGACTGGATTGGATAATCACAGCTGGTCAGTAGTCAGTTGCGATGAAGAATGTTGAGTTGTTATGTATTTCGCACATATTTCTTAAATTTTTTTGGATTACTTTTATTTGTTCTTTTTTCTGCGTATACATTAACGAGTTCATAAGAAAATCCGATTCAAACATTTTCTGCTCAACTTTAATCATTTGTAGTGCAGCAAACCGTGAGTTTTCAAGGCAAATTCAATTAAATAAAAGTAAGTCAACTAATCGCTTTTGTTCATTTAAGAATTCTATGAGTCAGTAATGTAATTTACACACAAACATGTGAGATAGCTGCAATCTGTAGTGTTATGAATGCTTTTAAAACTGAATAAACCAGACGACTTCGTGTATAATATGTAGTGTAGAATCTGTGAAATTTTATTTATCTGAATATTTTGGTTGAAACACTGAAAATAAAAATTATGGAAATTTTTCGAGTCTGGCATATGGTTCTGTTCAAATTGGCTGTTATATTTTAGGCTTTTTGGTAATTTAGAAAGAAAATAAATAACATAAAATAAAATAAATTAAAATTAAAGAAAATAAATAGAATAAAATAAAAATGGTATTAATTAATTAAAAAAATATAAGAAGTTAAATAATAAGTAAAATAAATTAAATTATGTAAAATAAGAAAATAACACATAATAAATATGAACTAATTATAATAAAATACAATAAATTGGAATTTAATAATTTTAAATATACTAAAATTAAATAGTTGAAATAATTAAATGAATTAAATTAAAATAAAACAAAACAAAATAAAACGAAGTAAATTAAAATTATATGAAAAAAGGGTAATATAAAAATTACTTTAATATTAAATAAAAGAAAATAAAATTAAAAAAAATTTATCAAAAAAGTAAAATTAAATGGAATAAAATAAAGTACAAAAAATAAAATAAAACTTATTATTATGGAAAAAATAGATGGTAAAGTAAAATTAAACAAAATTAATTAGAATGAATATTAAAAAAAAAATAACATAAAAAAGAAAACAAAGTAAATTAATATAAAACAATGTTAAATGAAGTTATTTAAAACAAAATAATTTGATATTAATTAAAATTATATATAAATCAAATAAAGCGAAATAAAGTAAAAAATAAAGCTAAGAAAAAAAATTGGAATAAATTAAATTAAAATAAAATAATAAATCAAAATAAACTAAAATAAAATAAAATAAAATAAAATAAAATAAAATGAAAAAAAAATAAAATAAAATATAATAAAATAAAATAAAATAAAATATAAAATAAAATATAATAAAATAAAATAAAACAAACAAAATAAAATAAAATTAAATAAAATCAAATAAGCTTAAATAAAATAAAATAAAATAAAGTAAAATAAAATAAAATAAAACAAAATAAAGTAAAATAAAATAATAAAACAGAATAATTGTTTTGGTTAAAAATGTGCATATATATATCACTTTTAAATTAACATAAATATGTAAATTTTTTTTTATTAATTTATTTAGTAATCAATATAATTTCATTTTTCATCCTTACAGTTCCTGTCGAGCCGAATACAGCCAACACTTACTTTGAGGTAGCACCGTGTGAGCTCAAAAACCCTAACAAAAATGAATGCATACGAAATCTTTTCGCGCAAATCGTGCCACAGCTGAAGGTGAGTATGGCTGCGAGCACGCAAATTAGCTCGGCCTAAAACTTAATTTTCACTTTCTCTTTCTCATTTCAACTGCACAGGCTGGCTTACCGCAATATGGCATGCCTTCCATCGATCCATATTTCTATCGACGCGGCATTTTCCGTTATGACAACGAAGGTGTACAGGGTGGACTGCTCATCAAGAATATGTATATTAACGGTATTAGTACATTCAAGGTGAACACATTTTTGTCGAATTTCACGGAAAAAGCGTTCATCGTTAAGTTGGGCATTGAAATACCACGCATTAAGGCGAATGGACAATTTAAGGCTGATGTGAAATTCGGTGGCTTGCGTTTGGTGCCCAAGGGACCCTTCAACATAACGATTGGTTGGTGGTTTGATTTAAATTTTTTATTTTTTTTTTTTTACTATCAAATTTAATTGATAATATATAATATATATAGATAACATTCGTGCCACCATTTTGACTGATGGTGTGCTGGAGAACACTGAGGCTGGTCGCCGTTTGAAGCTGCAACGTCTGAATGCCAATGTGGCGGTGGGTGATGCACGCATCATAGCAAATGGCATTTTCAGTGATCGCAATTTGAGTGAGTAGCGCATATAATTTCAATAATTTATTTAATGTATTAATTAAAAATATTTAAATAATTTTAATAATTTTAATTAATTAATTTAAACTCACTTTTTAGACTAATTGAATTTTGTTTAATTGATTTTGTATTTTACCCTTCAGACACCATGATTTTGAATTTGGTAAACGAGAATCTGCCGGAAATCACCCGCGTAGGCATACCAGCTACCCGCGAGCAATGGGCACCGATTTTCCTAGCGCACATTAATCAATTCTTTGCGAATATTCCTATTAATCAGTTTTTGATAGAGTAAACATTCTACGCTACATTCGCCGGAGAGAGTGTAGTTCAAAGAAAATAGGCGCGTATTGAGAGATACGTTAAACAAAAGTTTATTGTTAAGTACACTTAAAGTTAATAAGCAAATTTACTTAATGAACATGCATGTGTGTGCATTACGATAGGTTTTCGGAAAAAAAAATATTTAACAATCATCATTTACTTATATATGTAAATGTAATAGGAAGTAAGAAACTCTTTATTTATGTTAAGACTCTCTTTACCAAGAAACAAAGCATGTATTTATTTAAATATTATTATTATTATTAAAGTATGTATGTATCATGCTCTCATGTACCTTTTTATTTAAAATAAAAATAAAAAATATTTAAACCTTTGAATTGATTAAAAATAGTAATCGAGTAAAAAGTAATCCATTATTTTTGCAGTAGATGTCCTTAGTCATCCTTATCTCGCATTCTATAAGTGTGATTGGCTTATGCTAGATGGCGCTGGAAAGTTGTTATTTCGTACTAAATACATTAATGGATCAGCCCGTTTCTGGTTTTATTATTATTTATAAATGATGTGTCTTTCGTAAAAAAGCCTTCAAAGACCTTGCTAAATGCCGATGAAGCAAAACTTTGAATGTCATGCACCTCGTTCGACTAAAAACGTTTATTAAAAACAGATCTACACACACGACACATACCTTTGGACCTTCTGAAATGTAAGACCACAAGCTTTTCGCGAAGACTTGTTTAATCTGACCCTTTGTTGTAGTCTCCTTGGGAATCAGAAAAAAGCGTTTTCTTTAGCAATTTTTTGGAAATGGAAGGAGATTATTGCGGCAAACGAAATTTTTAGACAATAATATACTATAGTTAGGCATCAAAAGTCAATTTTAAGTATACAAAAATAATGGAATTTTCCAATGTCGTGATGAGTCTGAACTCTTCTTCTGAAACGGTGCCAGTGATGAAGGTCATGCGACTCATCTAAAACTGTCAAATTTTAATTCTTATGATTGTCTCTTCTATATAAACTAAAAAAATAACGAATTTGGAAAATGCCAAAAATTTTTAAATTTGGAAAACAAAACTTTATTGCTAAAAAAAATCACTTCTAGTTGCAAAAAAAAATTGTTTGAATTATACTTTTGTCTAACTTTTTTAGTTCAAAAAAAAAAATTAATTTAATACTGAAACACCATCGCTTTGATTTTTTCTTTCGATCGGATACCGGCACCATTTTCTAAGACTTGTAAAAATGAAAACGCGGGAAACCGTGCTTCAAAGTTTTGCTCGACGCTCGGCCACTAAAATTGGTCTAGCCTCTAAAATATATTAAATTGGCCACTGAAATTTTGAAAACATATTCTCTGATTTTAGTTTTAGAATAGATTAAAAAAATGAATCTTTTGAAGCCTCAAACTATAACCTATAATAAGTGTACAACTTTGATCTGTTTTGGAGGTTATAATGGCCCCGAAGCTCAACCTCCATCTTCATATCAATAACACAGTCTTAAAAGCTGAAAATGCGTTTGCCATTGTAAAAAGATGATCAAAAGCATTTAAAGACCTTTATTTGATACTTTATACGACTTTGGGGAGGCCAATATTAGAATATGGTTCACTGATATGGAACTTCAGTTACCAAGTTCATTCCGATGGTTTCGAGCATGACCAAAACCAATGTTTCATTTAGTGTTTTAAGACATTTCCGATGGAGCTCTAAGGTAAACTGCTTCCCTATATCAAACTCAAACATTTTGTAGTTCATGGCTCTGATCTGAGGTAAACTCCAATTCGTGTATCTGGGCGGTTTAGGCTTTTACTATTAAAGTCATGAAAGAAAAATTTTGAATAAATTTTCAGCGACTCTCATTCCGGCATCTTCGAACTCTCAGACTCACTTTTTAGCATCAAAAAAACTAATTCTTGCTTCTCTCTACAATTAAACGTTCAAATTCTTTAGTTACTAAATTTCATCTATTCAATAAATAATTTTTTTCTTTGGCTGTACAGTTTAAAATTTCGGCATTTACCAAACGCTTGCCAATCGTAATTCGGCGTGTGGAGGGTATTCGTTGCGTTTGTTATTATTATTATATATTATTGTCCCAACAGCTAGCGGTTCGACTGTGTGCTTCACGACGACCCAAAAATGTTTTAGTTTTACGACGTCTCTGTCAGCTTTTCACCATTTTTGTATGGAGCTTTCAAAATTTCAATGCGCTGTTGAAGCGCGTATGGTTTGATTTTCATTACTGGCGTATTTTTCACTTGTCAAAAGTCAAAAAATTACAGTTTCAGTAGCGACATCTACCGGAATATAGCAATTATTTTTTGGAAAACCCTTTACCTCCGTTTGAAGGTTGCTAGCTAAGTTGGGTAAACATATAGAGACAGCTGGAATATACACCCGGCCTCATCCCGTAAGCCCATCTTGGACTTGTCGGCAACATCGTTACCTACTATACCTCTTCTCCACTTGCTTCCATTTGAGAAAACCCTCCACTCAAATGGAAGCAACTACCCGATGCAGCTTAAGTACAATATATATATTTTGCTTACAACTTAATTTAACTTTTTCTTCGAAATTTTTACGTAAGGCAAAACTTCCCAGTCGTGGTTTTCCAAGCACTTTTCAACTGGTATGACAAAAAGAGGCGAAGTGCTGTCATGATCGAAAATTACGTCCTATTTTTTTTTCCAAAAATAGCTCTTTTCAATGTGATGAATTTTTGTTGGTAGCTTTGTCCGTTAATGGTTCAACCTCGTTTTAGAAGCTCATAATACAGCTCTTCTGATGCCACCAAATACCGAACATTATCTTGGCGAAATGGATATTCGGCTTTTCCGCAGATTTGGTTGCTGGGTCAGTCTAATAGATCCACTCTAATTACCAGTAACCTTTTTATGCATAAAGGACTTCTTTTGACTCCCAAAGATTCTGCAAACTCTCCTTGTTTTTTCATCGAGTAATTCTTCCAGTTCCTTATCTTCAAATTTTTTTTGCTGCCCAGTTCTTCGTTTTCGAAGACTAAATCACCACTTTCATATCTTGAAAACCACTTTTGACACCTTCGCTCACCAATAGCATTTTCACTATAAACTTATACCAAAATTCGATGACTTTCGTCAGCGGTTTTCTTCATATTATAGTAATGAAGAAGAGCCACCCGCACAAATACGCATCAGTTTGACAGGACCGATTAGCTCCTGCAACCCCTGCACATGTTGATCTTTATAGGGTGTTCAATTACCTGTTTTTTAACACCACTCGAGAACTAGGATTGGCAGAATAGAGGCCGCATGCAACCTTTTCCTGCTAAGCTCAGTTTAGAATCAATATCAGACACAGATAGTTCTGAACGAGCAAACTGTTGTATCGCTGGGTGAAGTCTTACTTGGATTAATGCTTAGTCTGTTGTTCTCTACCCAAACTCACTGTTTGTGGTAGAAACCAGCCCTTCAACATGAGACAGTCTGATTTTCTACTGTTTTCACTCCTCCTCTGTTGAGATGTGGTGGTAATTCGTTTAGCCCCACCTTGCATGGAAACATGCAACTCATCTATACCATATATAATTTGCGCTTTGTAACCGTTGAAGAGATTTTAGATGGAACTTCTCCTCCAATTTGTGGTTTTACAGACCTACAGTTTATACCAAGCCGGCTCCGAAAGGCTGATAGAGTCTTTATTTGATATCAGTAATACTCCCGGAGGAGCTGATATTCCCTGCCGAGGTACGACCGCAATTAGAAAACTTGGCTATTCGCTTTTGCTTTCCTAAGTGATTTGAAAACGTCTCAAGATATCATTAAAATGATGCCAGAGTTTTGTCCAAAAGCTTTGATTGAAGGCTTTCCTCAGTTGTTGTCTTAATTAGATTCTTAAGATCATCATGGCAATTCTTACGCGATTATAGCTGAGTTAGTAACATTGCCTCCTTCTGGTTTTTTGGTGCCAATTGGAATATTCCAAGTGCATACCAGTTTTTCCTTAACAGAGTGGAGGTCTTCCTGTTCCTCAGCTTCCACTGGCTGGTAATGTATCGAAAAGGCTGGAGTGCCCTCTTCTATTCGCACTACATGACCTAGTCAGTGTATCCGTATATCTCGAACAGTTCATCATTCCATCGTCTGTGGTATTCGTTGCCAACGTGCAAAGAACCGTAAATCTCGCACAAAACCTTTCTGTTTCCCAATTCCGACTAAACCGATGTTGCCATAGCAGGGTGAAAATTATGAGTTAGCTTAAGAATTTGCACTTTATTCGTCGAGAGATGACTTCAGTAACACCTCTTGGCAAAAGTGAATTTGACATTTTTGTTTGTGTTCATCCGGATTCCAAGACGAACTAGGCTGTCTTCAATATCAGAGTTATGACCGTCAGCAGTGACGTGGAAGCCAAATCGCCCATGCGATGACTGTGCGATGACAAGAGACATTACGTCGTTCACTACCAGACCCTACGTTTCGCTTCCCTATCAGACTTGATTGTTCACGCCGTCGATATGAATATCATTGGCGTTTGCCAGCAGTTGTAGACTGGAGTAAAGACGTAAAGAGGTCACATGATAACGAGTCACCTTATCTGAAACCCCGCTTGGTATCGAGTAGCTAAGAGAGATACTTCCTTTGTCTGATGGGGCTTTTGGTGTTGCTTATCATTAGTTTACAAAGGCGTGTTACGGAGATAACAAATTCAGACATTTATCATGTCTAAGACCGAACTTATAAGGCACAAACATTTCATTGGCGGTGGGCTTCCATCTCTCACACAGTAGGCTCGATAACATCTTATATGCGGTTATTGGCGCAGGCAACCCACCAACCCAACCCCAGGCGAACAACTGCTATTGGAATTTCCTGAAAACCGAACAATAAAACATGTGTTCGTTGAATCATAATATAGTTTTGTTAACACATAATTGCTATCAAAAACAAATTTTAAATTAAACAAAAGAGAATAACTGGACTAGATCTCTGTTCATGGTTGTACATTTTTCGCTTGCATACAAGTACTTACCTGTTAACATATATGCCCTATATTTCTTAAATTTTGTTAACAAAAATTAATATTTTCTTTAGTTCACCAGAGAATATATAAGAATTATTACAGATTCTCCGTTGTCTGATTAAGTAGTGCCTGAAAGCATGCAACAGTTTGCAATGACTATCATTGTTTAAGATATTAATTCTACAGTGGCTCCGCAACTGATTGCGATCTCCATGTGATCAAGAACGAAATCAAAAGAAATTGTGTTGGGTAGTAAAAAAAAAATAATGAAATAAAAAAGATAACGCGAATCACAAGCTTTTGAAAATTATAGAGAAA